GCAAAATAAATGAAAATAGCCCTTCATCATCCACAAGATTATACATTAGGCATTCAAATTAAGATGAAAATGAGCTTCTATAATTGTTAAGTTTTAAGCACAGAGTGGAAATTAAATAATGCAGTGATGCTTTATGTGTTGGAAAAAGAACCGACCTTATCAAAGAAGCCCCCTCATTACTCTTTCACTTTAATCTCCATCCACCAATATCAGCTGAGGACTGCCCAGCTGGAAAACAACTCGGCAGAAAAGGACTTGGGGGTCGTGGTGAACACCAAGTTGAAAATGAGCCAGCAATGTACCCTTCCCTCGAAGAAGGCTGATGGTATCCTGGGCAGCATTAGGAGGGGTTTTGCCAGTAGGTCGAGGGAGGTGATCCTTCTCCTCTGCTCAACACTGGTGAGGCCACATCTGGAGAGCTGTGTCCAGTGCTGGGCTTCCCAGTACAAGAGACGTGGACATACTGGAGAGAGTCCTACAAAGGGCCATGAAGGTGGTACAGGGATCGGAGCATCTCTGCTATGAGGAAAGGCTGAGAACCTGGAGAAGAGAAGGTTCAGGAGGAGCTCATCAATGTGTATAAATATGTGAAGGGAGGATGCAAAGAGGACAGAGCCAGGCTCTTTTCAGTCATGCCCAGTGACATGACAAATGACAATGGGCACAAAAATGAAACACAGGAGGCTCTGTCTGAACATCAGGAAACACTTTTTGACTGTGAGGGTGACCGAACACTGGCCCAGGTTGCCCAAGGACGTTGTGGAGTCTCGCTTCTTGGAGATATTCAGAACTCGTCTGGACATGGTCCTGGGCAACTGGCTGTAAGTGACCCTGCTTGAGCAGGGAGGTTGGACCAGGTGACCTCCAGCCATCCCTTCCAACCTCAACCATTCTATGATTCTGTGATGTCCATCCCCATTATAGTCAATTGTATAATATAATTGTGGCTGTATAAAGAAATGTACAAGTGCCTAAAGAACACACACTGTTTGTCTTTCACATAGCCTGTTACTCAACAGTTACATGTTATTGTTAGATATATAATTACATTTTAAAAAATAAGAAAAAAATGTATTTCATATTATATGCTAACTTAATGTTTTGGAAACAAGGCTATAAATATGAAAGTCTATAGGGTAAAACTGAAAAATCTCTTTAAAGGAAATATACAAAAGGCATTAATATACTAATAATTTTTAGTCTTGGTCCTGAAAATAACAATAGAAGATGAAAAAATTAGTAACTAGACTTGTTCATCCAATGAATCATTTATCTGCACACTGCCAGCAAGCCAGTGGCTTCCAAATTGCCTCTTCCTCACACACAGGTGTCTCTTCTTGCACACACAGGTCATAGTTTTAAAATTAGTTGTTACTGGAAAGGAAGTTTGAACTTCAGACAATGGTGGCAGAAAATCCAGGCTGAGGCAGTTCTTCCAAGGTGAACTGCTGAATATTTTTTATAATCCTTTAGTTAGGACAAGAGCAAAAAAAACCCCATCTTTTCTCCTCTTTCGTAGTGGCTATGACGAAATGAGCAAAGAATGATGGTCCCACTTTGGTAGCTGTCCTGTTGCTAGTCTGCCTAACTCTTTACTACCATAGGAATCATTAATACTTTTTAGAATATCTAGAACTGGGCATGGCGTATAGCTACAGTATTGGGTATTTTTTACTGTTCCCCTTATAATTAGAAATGCCACTTAGAAGTCAGAAATATTTGATTCATGTGACATAATTTGTGATCTTTCCTGTAAAACAAAGTTTCCTTTTTCTAGTGCATTACCGGTCTTCATAGTAAGAATCAAAGTTTTAGTTTAGTCCGTATCTTACTAGACCTGCTTTAGCTAGGTCAATCCCAGTGCTGGTAGCGCAAAACCACAAGTGTTGACATTACATCATCATCTTCACAAAGTACAAGGAAGTAGTAAAAAGCAATTCAGTCATTCCAGTGCCTTTCATAACTATATCCAGAAAGGTGTCACCTTTGGTACAGAGCCAGGCACAGTGAAGAACAAGGTTTGAAGTCCATGGATAACTTTACTTACTGTATAATTAATGTAAACCCATTTCTCAGAAATTGCTTAAGAATGACTCTGAGTAATGTGTTAACCATTTACCACCCTTTATTTACAGAAGTACTGTCTTCTGTCTTACTGTTTCTTAAAAAAAAAAGTCTTACATAGTTTTACATTTTATCTGGCTGCTTACAGCTTTGCCAACTTTTCAGTACTCCTTTTACAGTAGTCTTTTTACGCTTAATTCAGCTTTACAGTGCTCCATCAGCTTTATGAAAATATTTTATTCCTAAGATGCTTTTCATCATCTCTACTCTGTGAAGAGTAAAGCAAATAAAGTGAAGAACTAACCTGCTTTTCCTTCCTCCTGCTTTCCAGTTCCACAGTGTCATTTTTGGTTTGACAATTTTATCCAGTATCTTTTCATGTCAGTTATGCATGCAGTGAGAAACCTTCTGGGAGCTGTAATATTCCCCAATTCCTTTTCCCTTTCTGTTTAGCATACAAGTGACTTCTAGTTACTTTTTTAGGTCTAATAAATATTAACCTTCTCAACTGGTATGTTTCAAAGCTTTTAGTTAACAGTGTTGCCTGTAATATTATTTGTGGAAGTCTTTCATTACATTCTGTCATTCTTTTACAGTGAGTCTCTCTAGGCTCAGAAAGGTGTATCATAGATGGCCCTGGGATATCTTGTTGAGTTTTTGAGAACCGATACTCATCTTGTGCTCTTGAGTTTCTGCTCTGACAACTGCTTTCGACCTTAGCTGGCTCAGTTTCTGAATTTAGACAAGAAGTCACTGTCAAAAGTGTGAACCCTTCAAGAAAACAGCAATAGGAGAGACCCTGTCTTACTACTGAAGAGAACTTCAGTGAACCCTTTTTCCCATGCTGCCAATCACAGTTGTGATAGGCATTATGATCAAAGTTCATATTAGGAATATCATTTAATGAGAGATCAATGCAGGGCATTTGTAATTTGTGGCAAGTCTCATTGATTCATTGATTGGTTGATTGATTTTTGCTAAGTGGCTCAAAACTGAGGTCTGTGGTCCTTGCTGAGGCCATTACCATGCGCAGAACTGAATGCAGAAGCTGTGGGAGTTGAGGTGTCATGTAGTAGCTGAGCCAAGCACCCAAACTATCATGGGCAACTTCTGTGAACCTGCTGTATTAAGTCTAGTGATGGAGAGTGGAGTGCAGTTTAATGAGTAGAGCTACCTTGTAATAAAGGAGGACTAATAAAGAAAGAAGCATAACAGAAATCTCAAAAGAGGGCAAATAGTAGTAATGCAGTCTGCTCAGGTAGCATGGCTCGTTTGACCCCTGACTTAAGAAGGGCTGAAGTTTAGTCTAATCTAGTCATCCAGGATGGGAGTCCTAAAACTGTATCCTACAAGGAGGAGAGTCAGTATTCTCTGGTGACTCAGACGTGGTAATTGCTGTCCTGAGGCTAATTTCCATCCCAACAGCCATGTAGAATGGCATCTTCGGGGCTACGTGGCTCATGTCTAGGCAGGGGCCCAGTGGCTTTCTTTGGCAAAGGGAGCAAGAGGTCTGTGTCTGGGCTCCATTAAACATCTCCTTGATCCTTAAGCATGACCTCTGTCTCCAGGTTGTATTTAAACTAATTGTTCTTTATTTCCCCACAAATAGATGCCATCAAATGTCATGCATGATAGCTTGACAATAAACAGTATCAATACTATCACTTATATGGAGTTTTGTTCCCTGTGATTTAGGGACATGTTATCAGCTGAAGGGATCACAGAGGATGTTGCAATGCCTCGTAAGGGCGAATGTGGAGCCGGTGACCCGTGATTTTCCTCCAGGTGTGCTGCCCTTAAGAATTATTTTAGCTATTGAGGAATGGTTCTGTCCGTTCTTTCCTGAGCTGACAGATTTATACCCGTGACAAATCTGACATAATCATTGGGAGTTTTGTTTTATGACTACCTCCTGGATGATTGTTCTCCACCTAGGCTGCAGTGTTTCTACACCATGAGTCTGTCTCAAGCTAATTGAAGCACTTTATGGCCACTTGCTGATCAGCTTTCACTGTTCAGTTTACTGTGCTCTTTGTAATTGATTTGGAAGACTAAAGCAACAACTGGTACTCATTGGTTTTTCATTGTTTCTCCCACTATTATTTCTTTTTCTGAAGTCACAAGTATAGATAATCAGATATTTGCATTATCTCAATGTTTCTCCTATTGGAAAAATATATTAAGTGAACAAGCAAATGCAGAAGTTCCCTTGGAGTAGTGCAGAAGCATGACAGAGGAATTTAATACACAATATTATGGTGTTATGGTAAACTATATGTGAAGCAACAGATGTATAGGAAAAAAAGAGTAATATATTACCATTATAATGTGAGAGGAGAAAAAATTAGTCAGCTCTTGCATGAATAAATTTCACTGGTCTCATGAATAGCTTCATATAATTTAAAATAATCCTTCTGTATAATGAACTTGCAAGCTAATTACTCTTGGATTGCCACAACTCGGTATAACTCTGTCAGTCTAGGGGCGTTTTGAATTATGCCAAAGTTGTGAAGTGGATACTGTGGAAACTGGAATTGAATGGGTTTCCCGACTGATATATCTGCCAGTTGTCACAGGATATTATTCCAGGCAGTAACTGTGATCATTACTAGATTTATCCTTTTTAAAAACAATAGAGTTAAAAGAGGCAGATGGTAGTTAATGATTAACATTCCTAGTAAACAAACTTTTGCAAGGATATATTTAAAGTGGTTGTGTGTATATAAATAGGCAAGGAACATGAGCTGTGCAACTGTAATTGAATTACATTAGCATAACTTAAGTAGAAGTTTAGTAAATACCAGACACCTTAATTAACTTGCACAGTATTGGGAGGTTAATGACATACCACCCGTAAATGACTCTTCAAAGTGTTTGGCAACATGGCAGTTTAGAGCCAAACTAGTACCCAGTACCCCACCCTTTGTAGCCGGTGTATGGTAACTGATTTAACTCCTACCACTCAAGCTTGGCCTCTGCTGGGGTTTCTGGAGGTTGAAGCAACAGCCTTACTTGCTGGAAACCTGCCTGTGGAGCGGGACCGTACGCTCGCCGTGCCCTCCGGTTGTGTCCATCTACCTCGCAGCCTGGAGAGCCCTTGGCTCACTGGGCTCTTAACATGGGGTCTGGGCAAGTAGTTCAGGCTCTACAAACTTACACTTTTAAACACGAAAGCTCTACTCCCTCTACCAAAAATTTGCCAGCAGCATTGTATAACTCTCACACTAACAGAAGATACCAACTCTTTTTGTGCCCCTTCAGTAGATAAGGGCAATAGTTGTCTGTTTCCAATTGCAGGTTTTGCAGTCTTTCCTTTTTATAACTTTTTATTGTTATTTTTGCTGATGCAGTTTCTGGAAAATATGCCAATTACATATTTTAGTGCGTTCAAGAAGTGTAATTGAATCTCGTTAGAGCTATCGGGGCTGTGTATCGGAGTCCAGCCTGAGCTGTGCATCTTTTTAGCTAAGGCATGTGTTATTCATTGATGCTCATTCTAAAATTTTAATAGTGGGGTTAGAAGCCTGATTGAAAACCAGTAGTGATTTGTCGGTTTATCATGCCAAGTAAATAAACAATGTACTTACCGGTCTAGTTAATTATTTTAAAAATACTGGTGAGTCAGGAAACTGTATGCAAATTGGTAAGAAATCAATTCCTGTTACATTTGAATAATTTGGAAGAGGCACATTGGATCCACAAGCGGTTGAAATTTATATTCTTCTCTCATAAGAAACTGTACTGTAAATAGGCTATCATGTCTCTTGGGAAAGAAATGTGAATTTTGCTGACAAGTCGAGGTCTCTCAGCAGAAAAATGCATGCTGACAGTTTGACCCAGTAGCCAATTGACTGATTTCTTTCCTTTTTTTACTTCTATTTTAGATGCTGAAGAATACCAGCCTCCAATATGGAAATCATACTGTGAGTACACGAGAATTTTGAATAATTTTAGTACCTTACCAAGGTGTCACTGTTAGGTCTTTTCCCTTTCTTTGTTTAGAAAAAAGACAGAAATGTACTAGGTGCTTGTAGAAATTACTGTATGGGACAGCAGCGAAACCTGAACTTTTCTGGTTCTCCATGGAGCAAGTGCAGGAGGATCATGAGTGCCGGACTCTCTGGGTTGCCTTGTGAGTGTGCAAATCCTGGGTTTCATGGTCTCTCTGCTGAGATTTTCAGGAAGGATTCCAGAGGTAGAGGTTAATGCTTCATGTGTTTACTAAAGGTCAGGCTTGAGTATACTTGTCTTTTTATACGGGTCACCAAATCACTTTAAGATAATAATATTTTTGATCCTTCACAATAGAAGATGATTTTTGAAGTGGTGGTTTAGAAGTTGGAGACAGCATTATCAGTTCTTTGAACCTTCCTGTCTGCCTTTAGAAAAATCATTTACATAGAGTGCAGGGCAGAAGTGCATATTTTATGCTCTTTTTGCTTTGTTCCAAATGCATTTCTGATAGAGTAGCACAGATCTAAGACAAAATGTTAGCTTTTAAAACCCTTATTAAAGGTGGCCTTTAAATTTGATCCTTTTATTTTAAACCTTTACTGGAACTTTAGTGAAACTGTAGCTTTGTGAAGAGTGCCTTTTTTTTTTTTTGGCTGTTTTCAGGTACGGAACTATGCTAAGGAAAAGTCATCTTTTTTATTGTGGCAACTTCAAATTCAGTACAGTGCCATTACCAAAATGGGACTACAAAAAGACAAGGATCACAGTAGTTACATGCATGTACATGTGTAATTTTAAAGACTGGAATAAACTTGTTGGCTGTGCTTATATACACGTTAAACTACCTTGCTGACTTCAAAGAAATCACCTCTGTGTTACCTGAGAATGACATTCTGCCTCAGAATGGACTGGGATTTTTTTCAACCAAAATTTGAGTATGCCATCAAATTACAAAAATTGTTTCTCAGAACACTGCTTTCTGGAGACTTTTGTTGTTGTTGTTGCAATATTTTGAATGTGTAAGAAAAACCTCCTTAAAAATCAGCAAGTGTGTATTGATTTGAGTTGGACCATTCCAGTCTACTTTGCTGGGTACTTGGAAAGCAGCAGACACTTGAGGGGGGTTTTTTAGAAGAGGAACCTTACTTACTCAAAATCGGTGGAAAAGCTCCCATTGACTCTGATGAGACCAGGATTTGAAATGACAGATGTTTCCTTTTTTGCAGGAGGTGTTCATTAAAAAGTCAGGGAATATGCACATGCCTTCCCTTACCTTCTCTTAGTTGCCCCACTGGTGCAGCAGACAGATCACTGCATGCGGTTGGTTACTTTTGCCTGGTAGCTTACACATAGTCCAAAGAAACTTTTTTTAAAATTAAAAAAAACCAGAATGAACTAATAGAATATGAGTACATAATTTCGTATTCAGATATATGTGGGATGCCAGTATTGTGGCAACGACAAAATCATAGCCTCAGCATCTGAACCCCATGCATGAATGACCTTGGAAAAAGTTACACAGCTCCAAAATGCAGAAAATGGTTTAGGGTTACAGAGATTTACTGCTGAGACTGCTTAGCCACAGACATACGTTTTTCATTGCGATGTTAGGTAATATATGCTTCTTTCTTCTGCTAGAAAAATCCCAATCTGGTAAATTAATTACAGAGGTTATGTCCAATGATAGCGTTAGTCTGTGGTGCAATCTACTGTCCTGTCTCATCACAGTTTAACTTAATTTGTATGTATTTCACTCTTAGCAGTTTGTGTTTACTGCCTGTTTTAGCTAGTAACTTTTAAAGTTTGCTAACATACTCTTAAGATGCTTTGCATACAGTTTTGATTTCTTTCTTAAGTCCTGGATAAATTTAGGTGCACTGTGTTGCCTTTTATTGACATCATGATCAAGGCTTCCTTCTAGCTTCTCAACAAAGGCAGATTTTCCTGTTTATGCAGGCAAAGTATTCAAATAGTGTTGCACATATCCATGGGCAAATGCCGATCAAAGTGGAACAGCTTTCAGAATCCAAGCCTTACTCTTTGGCATAATGTACAAGCTTATTTCCACTGTATTTGAAAAAACTGGACACTTCTAATGCAGATCCTTACTTGCTTATGAATTGTTAGAAAGTACATAGGTTTTGCAGATTACAAGATATTTCAGACCTTTTCTGATAGCCCTGGGACACAGAAAATAAAACAAATGGCAAGAATAATTTTGTATTACCAGGAAGGGACTTGGGGAAAAAATCTGGAAAGCTACTAGCAGGCAGCAGTCTCTAGGCGGTGGATTTGATTGGATTTATACCCGCATAACAGATAACAAATAAATACCCAATAACAGATTTCTTTTTGTGATCTGCTGTATGTTACGAATGTTATACAAAATGGCATTTTACCTTTTTACTATCACTGAGTTAGGAAAGAAAAGAGGATAAGAATCACAGACATGTGGGTTGGCAGGGACTTCTGGGGTGAGCTGAGCTGGCTTCCCACTCAAAGCACGACTATTGTTGGCTCTGGAGCAGAACAGCCATGGCTTTATCTGGCCGAGTCCTGACACCCTTCAGGGATGGAGCCTCTGCAGCCTTTGTGGGTAACCTGCCCCAGTGCTGCACTGCCCTCTTAGAGCAGACCTGATGATCTTACCTGCTTCATGTGACGAGTAGGCAATTTGTTTGACTGCTGAAAACAGCATAGTCATTTTTGACTTCCAGCTACAGCAGGTATGTGCTTGAGATTTGAAGAGATGTGAAACCACTCTTATTTTCCTTTTACCACTGCTGAGATTGGCATGTGCTAAGCAAGTCTAATGTCAACGCCACTTCAGTGTTTATTTGCATTACTTAAGATCAGTACGCTGGTGTGAAGCAATGTGGCAAGGAGCAGGGCATCAGGTGATGCCGTGCTTCAGCTCCTCACAAAGTTTCCCTGCCTTCTGCCCTTTATCAAATAATAAGCACAGTGTCTGAGACTCAGTTTTGTTAAAAATGAAGGCTTTATTTCAGCCAAGCACTAATTAAGCACGTGAGTAATCCCACAGAAATAGGACAGCTCATATTGTTCAAGCTCAGCACATGGATAAATGCCTGACTGAGATGAGGCCAAGGAGATAAAACTAAGGAACTCTGTGAAACATTCTCAGCGAGAAGGCAGTGTGTTTCTTTGCTGCGTTATAAAAGCAATGATAGGAATTTTTCCTCTCTGCTGGAGCATCACTGAACACTAGTCATAGGTGAGTTAAAGAAGAAAGCTTGAGTTCCTGACACACTGCAGAATGAAAAAAGTGTGAAGAAATTGGTGATACTCCTTCTTCCTTGGCAGAAAAGGAGTAACTGTTGATTTTTGTGTTTCATCCCTTTGTTTCTTAGACAGATCAGATTTTGGAATTAGACAGTTCTTTCTAAAACGTATTGTAGAGTTTCCCTTATTCATCCCATGAGACAAGACTCGTCCTCTAGCAGGAACAAAAGAGAGATACATATTCTAACTAGTTACTTTGCATCTCAAAGAAATGTTCCCCTAGAAATTCAATAATAAATTAAAGTTTTGTTAACTTTATAAGTTCCCAGGTGATTATGATACTATGAATGCTGCCAAACTATCTGAATTATGAAACTGGTAAAGATGTTCAAGGGCCAGTTAAAAGCTACTGCATTTTTCTATTGCAGTGCTGCATTTTGGTCTAATGTTTAGTGCATATTGTTACTGTGCATTTCATTTGCATCTGGTGCTGAACAAAAAGCTGCTCGCAGTCTGATGCTGTTCTCCGAGCAGTAACAATACATTCTCTTTTTGTATGCAGTTGACTTGTTGTAAGGTTAATTTTCTCAGGGCTAAAATAATAATGCATCATTATGTTAAAGTGTCGTCTTTTTTATGATCACAGTGGGTTTGTCTCTAACCTGCCTGTCAGTTCTAAATGCTGCAATAGACTGGGTCAGATGTCGATCACTGCTTACCACTGTATTAAATAACTGTGTTTTGCTGTTATTTCAGTTAACCCTATCCTTATACGTTGGATTCTGTTTTAAGATTTTCAGAGACGGAGGGGGGAAAATGAGGCAGACAGGCAAGGCTTGTTTGTCATTTGAGCAAGTAAGTGAGGGAAATGTGTTTTCTGAACTTCTGACCATCCCCTGGGCTCTGCTGGGGTCTCAGCAATGTCAGCCAGAGTGTGAGTGCCCAGCTCTTTGGAAAAAGTATATAATGAAATTGGGCAGAGCTGCAGGATGCTCAGCACTTCTGAAAATGAGGTCACTTAATGAGGTGTCTACACGCATTGGAACTTAGCTGTAGGGCACATTTTTCTCAAGTCACCTTAGCCATAATATTGCACTTGTATTCATAGCCCATTAGCAGGCTTTCATATAGCCATCATTTGAAGCAGAAACAAGAGAGAACTTTTCTAGAGAAGAATACAGCTTTTGGTAGGGTCGCACTTGCTTTGCTCTTTAATACCTTCGTCTGTGAGATATTCCCTTTTCCTAGTTTTTCATTTAACTGCACTTTCACTGTTGTTTTACCTCCTCTACCCTTGCCTTGCTGTGTGTATTTTCTGGGTATCTTTGACAGCTATGTGCCTATCTGTCTCTTCTCTGTTGTTTGTCTCCTGTTGAACTGCTTGACGTCCCTTACCACGATGCCACTGGTGGTTGTCAGTCCTTTCTTTCTATTCCAAATCTGTTTTCTCTCCCTCCATCTAATGGTTCTGCATCTGTCTCCAGTAGTTCTATTGGGTTGTCTTTCTGTCAGTTTAATGTCTTTCGATTTAAAGTTAATATGGCCAAATCTGAATTCTTCATCTTTCTCAGGAAACCATTTCCCATTCATGATGTTTTCTGTGGTTACCACCATTCACAATCTCAGTCATCCTTGTTACTTGGGACCATTTCCTCATCCTGCACATTTAAGGCAGCATATAATTTATTATTATTATTATTTATTTGTATAGTAAGAATCTTACTACCTTTTCTTTTGATGTATTTCTAGATCAGATATCTTTCTCAGTTCAGATTATTGTGCAGATTAATTACCCGTGCCTCTCGTGAGAATGACAGCAACCTTTTCCAGTCTATTCAAAATACAGTTAAGATGATTTGTCTTCCTTGCATTCATCATGAATCCCCGCACTGATTCATCCCACTGCATCCTATCAGCATCCAGTTTTTTTGTGTTTGCTTTCAAGTCTTTCGTATATCTGCCCTCTCCTGTTAGTCATTCCTTCCTTTGTTTTGTGAAATGCTGACTCTTCTCCCCACCCTTGCTTCTCCAGTGCTATCAGCCTCAGGGATCCTTTCAGTCATTTCGGAGAGCTTTTCTCATTTCTTATAAATGCGGCACATCACAAAATAGGCTTCCTGTGTGTTCTTCAGACCAACTTGTTGTGCATGTCAGCTATCAAGGTTATCTTAGAAACATCTCCACTAGCTTAATTTGCTTTGCCAGTTAATATTTAAAAGGTTTGGTTATTGAAAAATAGGATCTTTGTGAAGTGTGATTTTTCAATTAAAATTGAAATGAATAAATTGGGGAAGTAGATCTTTAAATAGGAAGCAATCGTATTCTTGCAATATTTTGAATCCTGATGTTCATTCTCTGTACTGGAAATGTATGGGGGAAGAAAAAAGTTACTATTTTCCTGTTGGATATATTTAGTATTAAGCATCAGTAACTTGCTGAATCAGTGGTTATGCTGATTTCAGACATTTAGAAATGGACTCTAAAATCGTGACACTGGGCTCCAGAATAATCAGTTTTCAAAAATGATCTGTGATTTCTGAAGCAAAATTTTCATGCTTTGCTTGACAATTCTTTTGGATACACAAGTCATTTGATGACAAAAGAGTAAGAAGAAAGCTATGAATCTTAGTCACACAATTGCAAGAGGTAAGAAAGACCACAAGTTATCATGAATCTTGTGCAAAAGTAGTGGGAGATCTGGCAGTGCTGAATGATGCAGGTTAAATCCAAAGCCTCATACAAATTCAGAGCTGGATCACATCCATATGCATTAAAACTGGTAGCAGGTATAAGAAATCATGAACTCTCTGTGCCCTTCCGAGGAACCAGGGATGAAAGTTGGGTTGGGTAAAGGAGAGATTATGGTTTTTTCCCCCTTGACATTAGCAGAGAACAGAAGCCCCCAAAGCTTTCACATCCCCTGAGTGACAAACTTGGGTGCAAGCCAAGGACTTCCCTGCTTCTCCGATTTCATTGCTCCTAGCCCCATTTAAAGAGAAGGTGCAGAAGGTGGGAGAAAGTCCTGAAGAGTAACACCTACCATTTCAATTCACTTTCTGCAACAGGGCTTCTGTGTTTATCAAACCTCCAGGCATTTATACTCTTCCCATAATCTGCCACCTTTCGGGGCATAATTCTGAGCTTCACAAGCATTATGAAGAGCCCTGTCCTAGAAACTCGGTCTTTTAAAAAAATTCGTAGACATGACATGATCTTTCCAAGTACAAGAAGGTCAGCATACAGAAGGTCTTTCTCAAGGGAGGCAATCCAAACCTCTGGGATTTTTACTGGAGTTACGGAGAGACAGTCTGTCTGCGTTGGAATTGATTACTGTCATTGCATGTCAGCTTCTTCTCACGACTCTGGAGTGGAAGGGAAGGAGAGGATCTCATTAAATACGTGCAGTGAAGAGGCTGGGGACCTGGGTTCAGCGACTACCCCTAGCCTCAGGTCTTTCTCCTCCAGCCCTCAGAAGACTGGCAAAATTGATCCAGGGCCATTTGAATAGGGCATAATTGCTCTGAAAGGAATGTTTCTTGCTCGTCAGTAATTGCTAGCAAATCTTGAAATAAATTATGAGATTGTGGTGAACCCTTTCAAACATGCTGAGCTTTTTCTTGGCCTATCCAAAAAACCACTGGTGTTACTGGTAAGTAATCTGTTCCTGAATTGTTACAGCATGGTATACACAAAAGTGAGATTTTATCCTGAGATACACCTAATAAATCTTTCTAGCTAGTCTCCCCTGGTACAGAAATGTAATAACAAGTACAAAAGGAGATAATATTTCTGAAAATTAAACCAATGATCACTTTAGTTAGTTTGCAGGTCAACAACCAATTTTCATATAAATGACTTAGATATACTGAAATACCTCCATTTGCTGTCCTTTTCTTTACATTTGCATTTTCCTCTGCAGCCTCTGGCTAAAAAGACTCATCTGAATAAAAGTTTGCGTATGTTGCCATCTTCTAATGATCTGTACATTTTTGTGTTTGACAGTGTATCAGTTGCAACAAGAGGCACCACGTCCCAAGAGAATCATCTGTCCTCGGGAGGTCAGTTCTTCTTTCACTCTACCTTGTTAAATCTGATGAATTGTCAGCAGCATATGATTACCAAAAAATCTTTTGTACAGTCTGCGGGTAGTATTCGCTTTAATTTTTCTGAGCCATTGTTTTACATAATAATTTTTCTTAAAGTTGATTAATTAAAGCAGATTAATATTTGCTAATTAGGCATGGGGGCCTCATTCTACCACTAGAAGCCCCTTCATTAGACAAATGCTCATTAATCATTGCTTAGTGTGCTTTTCTGTATACTACCTTAAGTTTTTTGTTTCCTTGTCAAAATGAAGGTGTATTTTCTTCCTGCATCTGCATATGAACGTCTGCATGATGTGTTTCAACAAGATACATGTAGCTTCAGTTTGTTGAATGAATTCTGCCAAGGATTTTGTTCAAGTTAAAGTACTGAAGTGATAACCAGAGAGCTTGGTTCTATCACAGAAACTTTAAAGATTATAGGATATTTAGAAATCTATGGGGCTGCAGGTTTGGCTGAGTCACCTTGTCTCCCTGTTTTCTTTTTCTGTATTTCTCCATTTCTACTTAGTTAAATACTTCAGTTTCTCATCCTGCATGGTATAATAGTAATGGAAAGCATATGTAGATGTCTCTGCTCGTTCGGTAAAACTGTGATAGCTTTATCTTCTGTAATGTCAGGGAGAAATTTTGTGCAAATAGGCATGTAATACTAGCAATAGAAATACTAAACGCATGAAGTGATTGCATGAGGTATAAAAGATGATGTGAAAAAAGATAGAAACTGCAGTTCATTGACGTGATATATAGTTGTACCCTCAAACATCATCCTCAACTCCGACCTGATTCCCACACTGTGTACCCATTGAAGCAGAGCACTAGCATAGCATCTGTCAAATGTTAACACATACAATCTCAAAACAGTTTTGCGTGGGGCAGGAGGTTTTATACCAAGGCACAGGTAGTTTGCCCAGGGTCGTGAAGAAGATCCATTGCGAAGCCAGGAACTGAATCCAGTTTTCCTGAATCCACCCAGTGCCTTAACTAAAAGGCTATTGCATTTTTCTCTCAAGTGCCTTCTGCTAGTTGTTTCAGGGCAGGAGGAGCAGGGTATTGGCCTCAGACTGGAAGTCTTCGAGCCCTGTCAGTTCAGGATGGTCCCAAGACATATATGCATGATACTAAGAAGGGCAAGCAAAACACCAGAGTGGGCAAATCCTCGTGTCATCCTTTCTCCCTGTCAAAGACAAGGCTCGGGGAGATGGAGCATGCAGTAGCCCTGTGGGGCTTCAGTGCACGTATGCTGAAGGGTTTTAACAAGACCTTCCTCCCCAAAATTCTCACGCAAAACAAATGACAGGTAGGTCTTTGTGGCTGGTATCCTCTGAAGGAGAGGACATTAAGTTTTTAACTAAATAAGTATTGCATAACAAGTATTAAAATAGTAGTGGTATAGTTGAAAACAGTTAAAGTAAACAGTTTATTTACTTCCAGTGGGCCTTATAGGAGTTTCTCACTTTGTGTGAGATAATAGTTTATCTAGTATTTTATTTATCTATTTCATACTGGAACTACTTTGAGGAAAATCTTGTCTTGAGAAAACCTGATTAATAAGCATTGAATGCTTAGGAACCCTTGTCTACAATTTGAACTCATCTTTGTGGGGATACAAATGACTTAGTCTGAGTAAGTTTAATCCAAAATTTATTATCTAATTCAAATGAAAGCGTTACCTCCATGAGTGAAAATTTGAATCAAGGTAAAATGTGCTTTTAAAGTGGAGTAGCAAGTGTATTCTTGTTCTAGAAACAAGACTATCTACACAGGTAAGTGGAGTTAATGTGCAGCTGTGAACTCTTTACCAATGTTCTGTATTGAACTCATTTCCTTAGACTCAAGAACATGTTATGTACAACAGAAATTATCCTTTGCTCCCTTTGCCTGATGTTTAAAGACCATTCATATTTAGTGCCTATTCAGGTCACTGCCAAAGATTTGCAGAAAGAAGCCAAGATCATATTATATTAACCAAATTAATACGTAATTGGCAAAGCAGTACATAATGAAATAAGTAAAAAAAAAAAATCTGATTCACATAATCTGGATTTGGTTCTGACTAATGAACCATTTTGAGTGGCTCACTTCATGGACTGAAGAGAGTCCTATTTTGATTTGTTTTGATTTTTATTTTTATTCAGTTAAACAGCCGACAATAAGAGACTTTATTCAGGAGTAGGTATATAAAGCAGTATGAATTTGCACAAATGTGATCTTTGGTTGACTTCTTGTTACTTGGATTTTGAATCTTTGTGTAGCTCAGCTGTATGTGTTCACAACCCGATCTCTAGAAACACAGATTCTCTGACCCAAGAGCCAAAAAACACTGCAACACTGATGATGTGCTTTATTTTTACATATAGTTGGGGAGGTGGGGGCAGGTGGGGTGTCCTGATACCTGGATTGCTCCTTGTGGTTCATATTACCAGTTTTATATAAAGTAGAACTACACACTGTTTTTATGGAGCATCACAGATTTAGAGAGAAAATTCAGTGCTATGTTCCTATGGCCCCTATTAGCTTTTCCTTAGCACACAAACTGTAAAGTGGCTGTTTTGTGGTTGTTTTTCTTGATTCTAGTTTGACTTCGGTGTAATCTGATGATTATATAGGCTTGCTTCACTAAAGATGGTGTCTTATTAATCTTAAATTTCTGTCAGCAACATAGAAAGATCTCAAAATCTGATTTTGTGTTATGTATGTGAATATATATTAATTGGCAATATGATAGTTATTTAGTATGCAATGTGATGCTCATCCAACATCTGGAGAGCAGGTGTCAGAAGGATGTGTGACTGATCGGGGAAAGATTTATCTCTCCATGTGCATATCATAGGAACTGGACTTTGTTGAGGGTGTTCTCTTGTATAATTTAGGATTCAAACAAATGTAAAAATTGCAAATAGTTTTAAATCCTTCATACTTACAGGAAGATGTCTTTCATTCATGATTGCCAAATTCTGCACTATTCACAAGGAAATTGAAGCATCTGCTGCAAACACAATCTGTAACACCAATAGATAAACTTGAGAAGGGTTGGAGGTTTTTCTTTTTTGCTCTCACCACTTGGCATTTTCATCATTCCTCCATCTTTTCCATTGCCATCTTCCACATTCTCCACATTCATTTGCTCTTCCATTACCTCTCTGTTACTCCACAGTCATAGGGGTTTTAGCCTCAGATCTCTGCAATTTTACCATCTGATTTGTGTGGATTTCTTGATTAACTATACTGTGGAGACAGAAATCACCTCTCCTGATACGCAAACCACCAGACTAAAAGCTGGGACTGTAAATAAAACATGAACATTTATATCTTTGTGTCTTTGAGCTTTGCTATCATGATATTCCTTTTCTTTTTTTTTTTTTTTTTTTTTGCCTGCATAAATATCTTGTCAGTGAAAGCAGGTCATTCCAGCAATGGGAATCATATTGAATGAACTATTAGGGCTTCAGGTATCTAACGGCTTTTAATTAATCACCACTGACAGCGGGACTAGTGTGAATATCTTACCTTCCCAATATCATTGGATTTCTGCCAATATCCTCATTTATAACCGTATTCCTTCCAGCAATGTTTTAATGATTTATTTTTTAAATAGAAAAAGTTTCGTTTAAAAGGGCCATTCAGGTGGAGGAGTAGCTTTTAAATATTGTGCAAGTGTGATGATAGGCACCAAAGAGTTAGATTCGTGTTGTGAAGAAGTCATATTATAAAGCATCTTTTAGGGTTTATTCTACAGAAATGCTGATAAAAAAATTACATTCTCAGAAAATAATTCAAGCATTCAACTTCCTGGTTTTATTTGAAAATAACATTTTAAAGAATTCTTAATTTTAAGAAATGTTTCAGGAGTAGACTATTCACAGTTAAAATATCTTTTAAAGAAATGGAGGCTTTAACAAAGTAAGAGAATTAAGGAAAGATGGTGACATTATTTGGGAATATTTTTAGTTAAACAATAGGCTTGTTATAAATTTCCTTTGAAGAGGGAGTGAGTCTTACCCATGAGTTTTTGGATTACTTTTGTAGAGATATTCATACCTGTGAATGCTATTCCTGTTCTGTTCCAAGAAAGCTTTAATTGCTGACAGCAGTTTTTGAGGCTGGTGAGTTTGTCTGCGTTAGACCTTGCATATTCCTAACAGTGCCTTGGCCAAGCCAGTGTCAGCAACAGTGTGAAACTCATCTAAATTTCCCTAGTGTAGACAAAGCCGTAGAGCCCTAACTTATATTATTATGTAGAAAAATGTCAGTTAATTGCCTTCCTCATCATTCTGAATTCCAAATAGGTTGTGTCAGAAGCAGCAGAAATTATTGTCTCTGCCTTTAAAGTATCAAAATTACGGTTTCTTGATTAAAAGCAAATACAATTACAAAAGGGAGACTTTTCTCTGAAAAAAAAAATATCTTTTTGCTTAAGTGATTGTAAACGACTGAAATAATGATGGCATATTCAGATTGTAGCACTGAGAGTCTTTCACTCTAACCATCCGGAGGGTCAGGAACTGTTTTGACCCTCTGGGTATCCATTACCCAGATTTATCAACACAAGTGTATAGATAGTGGCATTTCATAAAGCATAGCTGTTGAAATGGTCACTAGCAGGTTTATAATGATATTGCCATCTTGTACATTACTAGCAGAGAATATAAAGGATCATTGCACATCTCCAAAACTGAACCACTGCAAATTATTCTTTACTCAGTTATCCTTAAAGTTTCTTCTGAAGCATGAGATTCAAGCTAAGAACAATGCAATTAGCAGAGTATCATTTAAACAATAGCAATATTGAAAAGTGCTTTAAAAATGCTAGTTACTTTTGTCAGTTCTTCTTTCAGGTACAAAAATGGTTTGTATTTGTACATAAGAAAAAGCTTGTGATTAGGTAAGCTTGAGCAAGGTTGTTAAAATTAAGCCTTAGTAAGATATTTGCAGAGTATATCTGCCTGGATAAT